AGGAGATGGAGGGCGTCGAGGTGGGAGAGCCACAGGTACGTCGAACTTTTCTCCACGTGATTATCATTCTGGTCGTTGCTTACTTTGTGACTATAGGGCTCAATGTATCTTTTCCCCACCATCAAGGTTTCGGATAAAGCAGTCGAGGCTGCAAAGGAGGCGGATCGTACGCCCGACGAATTTTATTGCCTCCGTCTGCTAGACGCGACGGGTATCTGTGTCGTCCCCGGCTCCGGCTTCGGGCAGAAACCTGGTACATTACATCTTCGAACCACCTTCCTCGCCCCGGGAACGGATTGGGTCGGTCGCTGGATCAAATTCCACAAAGAATTCATGGACAAATACAGATAGCCAGACAACCCTGAGAAGAAAGGAGAAATTCCGCATCCCTAGACGGGCACCTGCTCTGAAACTCATGGCTTGTGCCTTGTCATTATATCCTTCCTCAGACTGTATGATATCAGTGGGCTCTCGTTCAACAATGGCAGTACTCGCATGTGCACTGTACTTTTACCTCTTCGTCCAAAAACTCATTGACAAGTCTCGCGCAATGATGATGATATTCGAACATAAATCCATGGCCCGACTCGGGATACATATGTACCTGTACATTGGGGTTGGTCTGGCTGATCTTCTGCCACAGAAGAAGGCTGTTTTGTTCTGGAACAAGTCTGTCACTCTGACCGCACAGGATCAAGACGGGACATTGGATCTCGTCTAGTCGGTCATACGAGCCTTCATCACGGTGGTTGAGGCCGTACCACCTCATCATTGCTGTGATCTGCCCATCGATGTCGTTGGTCGACACGAATGGCCTCATGGAAGAGCAACTCGTGATCCGATTCCACCATTTCTCCCCAATCTTTTGTCTCGCTTCACCGGACCCAAAGAAGCCGGCGAGGAATCCGGCCTTGACGTCGCCGTCCGTTGTTGCATTCGTCAGGTTCTGGAAGTAGTGCATGTCACCGCTCTCTACGCCCGGTCCCTGACTGGGTGCGGTGCCCGCAAGGACGAGTTTCCTGACCAAGCCCGGCGGTCCATTGAGGGTCAACATTTGTGCGATGAAGCCGCCCATGCTGAATCCCAGGACGTCGACCTGCGTGAAGCCCAGAGCTTTGATCAGCGCGACGATTTCCTCGGCCCAGAACCTGAAAGACAGCGCCGTTGTTGGTGGTGACGGTGTCTGCGTCTGCGTGCGTCGTGGATCATGTCTGGCGGTTGTTCGTTGACTCCCCTTGAGAGACTGCGCCTCCGCACTGCCGTGGTTGTCCAGGAGAAGAAGTTTCCGCCGAGACGCGAGGGCGTCGATCAGCGCCGGGTCCCAGAAATCAAGGCGGCTGCGGAAATGCGTCGGGAGGAGCAACGGCACATCACTGTCTAGGTTGTTGGCGGTGCCGAATAATCTGTACGCAAATGTGCTGTCGCTGACGCGGAGGATTTGGACCGGGGCCGTGGCGTATTCGGACTCTTCCATTTTTTGGCAGAGGAAAATTGTTTTTCAGACAGAGAGGAGAGGGATGGTCAGTGACGGGCTTACTGAAGATGTATATCGTAAGAAAGGGTCGTCAACCTGATCCGAGTATTATAACGCAGCTGAAGACGGGCATCGCTTTAGATGCTCTGATTACATCAGCTTCAGCCTCGAGGTGCCGCCGTGCAAGTCCATGAACCATTCGTGCCTCGATCACTATCACACTACACTAGTAATAGTGGTGGTGCAGATTGATTAATCATGCACCGGAACCAGTGAGAAGCCGAGGAGAACGAGAGCCAGACCCCCTCCCTCGTCGATACGAGCTGATCACCTCCTGGGGTGGTGGTTGAGAGCAACTCCCTGTTTGGGGTTGGGGGGGCGTTGTGTTCAGACCTATCAGGGTAGCTAGTTTTTTTTTTTGCAGTATTTCTCATGCGTCTCATCCCTTTTCTGCTTCGAGGAGACTATGTGTGGTCTTGGTGGGTTATCTAGTCATAACTGGTAGACAGACGAGGCTGTGTCTAGAAAGGGGGAAAGGATGGATGAGACCCGCTCTCACACTCATCCTGGGACATGTACCACGTCTACCATGGATGATTCTAGCCGCTATTGGCTGTTTACTCCGTCCCTCTCTGGTCCAAGCCACATCCTTCAGACGGCCATCCTGAACTTCAATTTATCCTCGCGCACAATGTCATCCTTCATGGCCTCCAACTCCTCAACGTCCCACGTCACACTGAGGTACCGCCCGCTGAGCCACTCCCTGCGCTCGCGCGTCAGCCAGGTCAACCAGCCACCGCACAGGCCAATGTCGTCTGTGAGGCGGGAATCCCACGCGTCGCCCTTTTCGTTCGAGTGCTTCTCGGTCTGCGGCGTGAGGACGGCGCCCGGGTGCACGGCAAAGGCCAGGAGGCCCTCGGCCTTGTGGTCCGTGGCCATGTGCTCGACCATGCGGTTGTTGGCGAACTTGGCCACGTTGTACGCCACGGGCAGGAAGCTGCTGTCGGTGACCTGGGCGGCCATGCTCGTGATGACGACGTAGGCCCTGACCGTGCTGGGGTTTTCGGGCGCCACGAGCAGCGCCGTGAAGTACTTGGCCACGTAGTAACTGCCCAGCAGGTTGATGTCGATGACGCGCTGGAAGTCGTCGTCCTCGACGATCCCCGAGGGGAGGCGCCGGTTCGTCTTCTCCCCGGTCTTCGCGTCCGTGTCATACAGGTACTTGGAGATGACCCCGGCGTTGGCGATGGCCACGTCCAGCCTCCCCTGCCACTTCTCTCGCACTTTTTCCGCCAGTGCCTGCACCGCTTTCGGGTCTGTCGTGTCACAGATCTCCGAGAGGATCTCGAGCGACGGGTTCACCTCCTTCAATTGCTTCTCCAGGGCGTCCAGGTCGCTCTGCGTGCGGCTCGAGATGCAGATCCCCTTGACCCCGGCGCGCGCGTACGCGAGGGAGATCTTGGGAGGGTATTAGCGGTGATGTCCAGTCCAGCTAGGTGGGATATTTAGGGGAGAAAGACAAGCAAGATAAATGACTCTCTCGGTTGTTTCTCTCAAATGTCCATACGTCTCACAACAACCATGTCTCTAGGGGCGATGGGGGTGAAGTTGACTCACGTAGACTCCCAACCCTTTCCCAGCGCCCGTCACCACCACGATGAACGACGACAGGGGATTATTCTCCGGCAACGTCGGCCCTTCTGCCTTGTGGTGCAGCGTCCGCGTGAACCGCTGGCCATAGTGATCCGGAAACCCGTGCTCCATGTGTGAGGGTCTTTTTTTTTCTCTCTTTGGTTCGTCTCGTCCTTGATGTTTGATCTTGAAAGTCGTGGGTCTAATAGAGAGAGCGCAGTAGATGACTGACTATCTGTCTATCTATCTAACTAACTGACTACTTTAGTTATTACTCATGCCGAGCCCAGAGAATCACTGACGACAACAACAACCATCACAACCCCTACAGAGTCGTCGTCGCTCGCTCGCTGGGGTGGATGCGAGTGTCACGGTTTAGCGAGTCAGTCGAGCCAAAACTCCAATGTCCAACTACCGAACCTGCCCACGCCCGCCCGCCCGCCTGCCCACCCCAAGTCTGACCTAGTCTATCGTGTCGTGTCGAACCCCAGTCCCAATCCCAGTCCCAACCCATAGTCGTAATCCCAGTCTGTGGAGAAATTGATCTGATTGTCTGGAGAACGAGAAGGGGGAGGAAGAGTAGGAGGAGGAGAGCAGCGAACGAGTAAGTACCTCTCACTGACACAGGGACCGGGTAACCCCACCACCACTGCTGAAATGCGGGCACGTATCTCGTATGGCTCCGTCTCGTACCGAGTACTTGTAGGGTCAGCCAAGGCCATTGGCTACTCGGCAGGACTGTAACGGACCTCGGCAACTGTGGCGGGATGCGATCGTTGTCTCGTATTCCTAGTAGCGAGGTATGAATACATTTACCTAGTAGATACCCTTTTTATGGAGATACAAAGTACAAGGTAACGGTACGAAGGTACATCTATGTACTGCATTATTATTCTTCTTCCCACTTACATACCTACATACCTACATACCTCAATACCCATATTATGTACCAGAGCTGTTACACCGCGTGGAAGCTGGAGATGACGGAAAATCGTCCAATCTCTGATGTCTCAAAGATATGTCAAAAGTGCGTGTATGCCTGGCTTCTCTCTCTCTCTCTCTCTTTCAATTCGGCGCTGCAGGGCATGTACGCCGGCCGGGCCGAGGGCTCGGAGTATACAAACAAGTACAAATAAGTACAAGCACAAGGACAAGTATAATGCTCTCCCGATGCGCAGTGTGCCTCACCACCTCGTCAGTAATGCATATTCTCATCTAGTCTCCTCCTCTACTCGTTCGGTCCGGTCCTTGACAATAGACGATAGATGAAAAAGACACTGACGGAATTGACTTTGTACCGAGAACAGAATACAGGGGGAACTGACTGTGACTGCGAGGGTTTGGCTGAAGCATCCCATCATGCCATCCCAACAATAATAACCAATAATATGTACTATCTTTGCACTTGTTACTTCTAATTACCAGATCGCACGATATTTCCGGCTTCGTTTCACGTATAACATCTTGGATTGAAAGGAAACGTTCCGGCTTCTGAAAAGGGGAACCTCGGGCTTTCTTCTCCGCCCCTTGCTTGATCGAGCCAAAAGCTGTCAAGTTGTATCGTATCACATAATATATAGGTAGAGAGAGAGAGAGAGAGAGATCGTGTACCGACCAAGGACTTGTAAGACCAAGACACCGGCTCTACCTAGGTTTGAAAAAACACGCAAAGCAGAGAGATTATTTTACTTGGCCTTGTTGGTTTGCTGGTAGGTACTGGCTGGTTGGCTAGTAAGTAAGTAAGTAGTCGAGTGTTATCACATTATCTTTGGTATCTCTGTATATACTCACTCGTCGGGCCGGACTGGTTGGTTGCTGAGACCGCGCAGATCATACACACACACTCAAGTACATACAGACGCCGGAAAAAACAGTCCTACACATATACACATCCATGTCCGTCGGAGAATTCCCCGTCAAAGGGAAGATTGTGGTCGTCACGGGCGGCGGATCAGGTTAGACAGATCATATCCCCTCCTTCCACGCACCCAGAGTATATCCTCTACCAGCCCAGAGGGCGACTTGCCCATTCATCCACGCCACCCGCCATCCAAATTGACTGAACTGGATATGACATGACATGACACAACACTGACTGACGAAAAATCCCAGGTATCTGTCTGGCCTTTGTCAAACTCGCCGTGCAGCAGGGCGCTCAAGTCCTGATCGGCGACCTGAAGCTCGGCCCCGAAGCCGCAGCTTTCGCGACGAGTGCGGGACCCGACGTCGTCAAGTTCGTCAAGTGCGACGTGACGGACTGGCGGGACCTGGAGAACTTGATCGTCGTGTCTGAGAGGGAGTTTGGCGACGTCCCGGACGTCTATGTCCCTGGTGCGGGCGTGTTTGAACCGGTAGGTTGTACCTTTTTTTTCCCCCTCCAAAAGGAAGGATATAGGGGATGTGTTCTCTTCTCTTTACCATGTCCCTCTGGGATAAGGGTTCTTCTCTCCAATATGTCCTTTTGGCATAGGTGTTTCTTCTCTTCCGCTGCGAGTCGTTCGCTAACCCCAGAGGCACCTGACAGGAATGGTCCAACTTCTGGAACGACTCGGAACCCTTAAAGTACGCCCAGCTCGACATCAACCTCGCCCACCCCATCAAGCTGACCCGCCTCGCCATCCGCGCCCTCGTCGGCCGGAACAAAAAGGGCGTCGTGTGCTGCATCGCCAGCATCGGCGGCCTGGACGGACAGTACGCCGCCACGTTGTACTCGGCGTGTAAGCACGGCGTTGTGGGCCTGGTCAAGAGTCTGGGGGACGCCGATCCCGAGGAGGGCGTCAAGGTCGTGGGGATTTGTCCTGGGTAAGTCCTCCCTGCTTCAAACCCCGCGAATCATTGTTTGCTTTTCTTTTCCTTTCCTCTTGAGTCAAAGCCCTGTCGGAAGAGTCCAGCGAAACCGATACTGACGACTCCCCCACCCCCCACCATTTTAGAGCCGTCTGGACTCCCCTCTGGACCGACCGCCCCGAGAAGATGGAACAGTACAGCGTCGCCTCGGACCTGTCCCAGACCCCCGAAGAAGTGGCCCAATTGATGCTGGACCTCGTCCAGGACGCCAAATACACCGGCGGCACCGTCCTCCGGTGTGACAAGACGCGCGCCGACGTGGTGTATCGGGGCGTGACTGAGTCGTCGGCCGCGACGAGCGGCGGCTTGAGGGGGAAGCTGATCAAGGGCAGTTATGACTTTGTGAGGCGGATCCTTCGGGATGAGCGAGAAGGTGGCAAGAAGAGGACTTCGCAGCTCTAGCGTTTTAGTGTCCCTCGAGTTACGCTTGGGCGAAAAGTCCTATTCTTTACATGCCTGAAATACCGAGTCGCTGTTGTCGTCATCCTATTCAGTTCCCCAGAAAGGACCAGGATTAGGGGGCCGCCTGTAGACACACAGCTACAGCTGGTAGGGGACTCGTGCTGCCCAGAGCCCATAAATGTACAAACCTTAATGCCTTTTTCCCGGGCAGGGTGACAACTGCGTAACTATCGCCCATCTTGATCGGTAAACAGGGACTCGAACGAGAACGGCAGATTGGTCTGGGTGGTCATCTTCAGAAACTCGTCCATGTCAAAGTCGACTGGAGGACCGGATTGTGCGGCTCCGCAAGGGTTGGCACTGGTGCTGGCGCTGGCGCTGGCGACATTCGACAGGGCGAGACCGTTCCAGTCGTGGTCCAGGGCCGGGAAGTCGACGTTGTTGAGCAGCGTCGTGCTGGTGATGTAGCTATCGACGGCGTCCTCGAGCATGCCGTCCTCGGGCGGCACGGCGTCCAGGTTGCAGCTGGTGATGACCGAGACGAGCCGCTTGCGGATCTGCTTCATCGACTTCTCCGTGTACTCCATCTCCTTGAGCGTGCGGAGGCAGGTGCGTAGGTACAGCAGCTGGCGCGCGAACGTCGGGCCGCGCTGCTGTTCCTCCTCGGCGCTGTCGGCGATCAGCGTCGTCGCCGCCGTCGTCACCCCGTAGATGGCAGACCCCAGCATCGTGTACCCCGGCCCGTGGTGCTCGCGGTACTCCTGGAGCATGCGCGCGATGCACGTCGCGTGGCCCACGCAGATCTCGCGCGACTGTTTCTGTGAGGCCGTCGCGGTGCCTTCGGCGACGGCGAACCCGGCGTGAGGTCGGTGCAGAATGATCATGACCGAATGGTATTGGATGCTGAGGGGGGGGGAATTAGAATTTGGTGACCAAAAAAAAAACACTCGCGGGTGTTCAGAGATCATGGATACATACTGGAGACAATAGACAGATGACGGTGCCTCGACCGTGTATCGCAGAGAAGGGTCAAGTTTCCGCTTCCACTCGTGCAGTTGCTCCGTCGGGATCTCAATGTCGTCGGTGCAGCTCTGAGTCGAGTTTCTTGGGTCCATCAGCATTGACTGCGCCCTCGTGGCGGGGAAAAAAAAGGGGGAGACTTACAATCGCGCCGCCACGTGGCCCTGTATGTCAAGGAGGTCTACCCACGCGGATAGAATCTTCATGTTCCACGAGGGACTGTCTTGACTGGGTCGTGGCATGGTGACGTCGTCCAGTTTGATGGCGTGAGGCCGGCCGAGATATACTGCCCAAAGCCTGTTGAAGAGCAAGTCAATCTTATAGAGACAGCTGCATGGCGAGAGTGTGAAATGCTTACCTGTCGAGCATAAAACAGCCCCAAAAGGCGACTTGTCTCGCGTCCAAGTCCCTTTGCGACAGGCCCGCTGACCGTAGAAGAAGGAAGTCTTTATGCAAGCCCAGGTCAAAGACCAGGCGACATGCGTTTCCTACAGAATGAGAGGTGAACTCGAAGTCAGTTTGGGAAATTGGCGTACCTGATGTTAACCAAGCCCTTGTGTCCTTGGAACGGGAGCCATGGAACAAACTGCAGAGGAGGAGGGATTGGACCGTGGTGAGACCGGGATTCAGCATCTCCTGCTCCAGCAACGACGTAGCCTGCCGCAGGATAACAGGTTGCGCCTCGTTACTGTCGCCGTCCCCTTGCTGCACCGCGAGCGCCCTGACCTGAGGCCAGCTGGAGATCCTGGCGGCCGAGACGAAGATCCAGTAAAGAAGACACGGACTAAAATGCCTGCCCTGCCCGGCTTCCATGTCTGCCAGGAAGGCCTCCTTGTGAAGGATCGGCAACACCGAGTGGTGGAATGTCCAGTAGAGATGGAACAGGTGCTGCTGGAGCGCCAGGGGCACATCATCTAGGATCTGGATTCTGCCGTGGGACTCGCAGGGGTCGGAAATGACTGGCATCGCGGCCTCGCTGAGATGCAGACTCGATGTCGGACCAAAGAATCGAACCTGGCCGATTTCGTCGGTGCTCACTTGCCACTGGCTGCCGCACAGCTGGCCGATGAGGCTCTTGGACGATGCTGGTTGCGATTCCGGAGTGAGCAATTCAGGTTCGCTGATGGGATAGGTATCCTGCTCCCGTCCGGTGCTCTGCGTCTCGATACTCTGTATCGCCACCTCTCCGTCCTTGCTGGACGGGCTCTGCGTCCGGGCAGACAGTTCGGTCTCGACCACCTTGATTCGTTCCTGTAGTTCACGTATATATTCCCATGAACGTGGTCTGTCACTGTTAGTCCTACATATCCTCTATCATCTCTGGCCGAAAGCCTTGGTGCACATTAGAGGACGCACCTTTTCCGCTGGTCACTTTCGGGCACGATGCATGGTATCTTGAGCTTGTTACATCGCCGACACCCATTTCCTTCACGCTGGCACTGCGGATGCCCGTCGTCAGCATCACTGTGGCATACAACCGCTGTCGCTGGTTCTTACCCTGACTTTCCTCGGACGACAACCCAGACACGCAAGATGAGCTTCGGCGTGCTTCGCGGAGCTGTGTTTGCTGGCCCGGCTCTGCAGACGCCCATTGTTTCGCGTTGGATTCACCCATGTTGCCTCCGCGGGCGGGAGAATATTGATAAAGTCGTAGTGAGTGTTCGCAGCCATCCTGTTGTGTGTGTGTGTGTGTGTGTGTGTGTGTGTGTGTGTGTCCGACACTGGAGAAACTCGAACCACTTCGACTGTGTCCCTCGAAAAACTGTCCACAGATCAGACGGTCGAGGATTTTGTCCGGGTAAAAGATGGAGGTGTGGAGGGAATAGCGTCTAGTGCCACCCTTGACACATCTGACCCAATAACGTGGACCCCTGGGACCATTGTGGGGTGGACAAGGGAAGCAATGGCATCAAGCTAATCAAGCCAGTTCAAGCTTCGCGTGGTCTCGGCCAATATTGACCGCGCACCTATTCGGGACACCGGCACCCCCAGCCCTCTGCAGCCTCGACCCGCAAACAAGTTGATGGGTACTGTATACAGCACCCAAACTGCGATTGATTGTGACGCGGAGGTCAGTCACCGTTGGTCCAAGGCCCCGAGGTAGTCAGTTTTGTCGAGACAAGAGCCTCGATGCCATCATGCCTGGCTATAAAGGGCCAGAGTCCTAGCTCCGATGTATACTATGGTAGAGGGGGAAAGTCGTTCCTATCCCGCCGTGGTATTGGAAAAGCACAAAGTTAACTTGATTTAATCATCCCATCCAGAATGGCTTCTTTGACAGGCAAAAAGGTATGTTTTCTACCCCCCGGATGGCATCTCGTGGTGGCCTGTTCTGAAAGTATCCAGATTGTCGTGACCGGTGCAGCCAGCGGAATTGGCCTGGCGACCGCTCAGCTTCTCGCGAAACGCGGTGCCGTGCTGTCAATATCGGACATCAACCAGCAAGGTCTGGATGCTGCGCTCAAGAGCTTGGAAGGGACGGGCCACTTTGGCACTGTCCTCGATGTCCGCGATTGTGCCGCCGTGAATGCGTGGATCGATGACTCGTTCAAGAGATTGGGAGGCCTGGACGGCGCCGCGAACATTGCTGGCGTCGAGCACGAGGGCGGCCGGTACCTTGCCGACGCGAGGGACGAGGACTGGGACATTGTGATGGGGATCAACTGCGCGGGTGTATTCTACTGCATGCGGGCCGAGCTGAGGAAGATGTTGAACGTCGGGGGGTCGATCGTAAGTTCATTCATTACCTTGTGCCCTCATTCTCCAGAGAAGCATTGTTGACAGTGGTCCACTACAGGTCAGCATATCCAGCGTCGGAGGGCTCATTGGCCTGGCCGAGACATCCATCTACAACGCCTCGAAACATGCCGTTATCGGCCTGACGCGAACGGCCGCAAGGGAGTATGGGTCTCACAACATCCGGGTCAACACGGTGGCTCCAGGTATTTCCTCTCGCTCGTGATTCCCGACCTGGAAACAAGACACGCTGACTCTGGGACAACAGGTGTGATTCGGACCGCTCTCGTCAAGGCCATGGAGGACGGTCACAGGCATGGGACCGTCGTGACAAGACAACAGGCCATAGACCGTCAGGCAGATCCCATGGAGGTGGCCACGGTGGTGGCGTTTCTGTTGAGCGACGACGCCAGCTTTGTCACTGGATCAACGTATAAAGTTGACGGAGGCTGGACTGCATAGACCGGGTTCCTCAGGAACCAAGAGGGAAGGATAGCTGCAAATTTGACCGTGTGTCTGTAACTATGGGTAGTCTACATAGCAGTGGAAAACCTGAGGTTGTTTTCAATAGCAGCTCTCAATTTTGAACTCGGTCGAATACTCGCATTGAGACCTTCAGCACTAACCCTCTCCGTATTTTCACGCTTTGTAGCAGACTAGCAAAGTCTCCAAAGAAATTAGAAAGGATGATCAGATGTGACAAGCCTCACAAGAGGACACACTCATTCAATGTTATCACGGTGCTATTGAAAGTCAAGGACTGACACCGAGAGATCAACGCACGACATGGACAACTCTGTTCTTTTACTATCTCCTTTTCACATCCACGTCCCTTCCTCAAATTCAAGCCAGAACTGACAATGTCATCTCGACGGCTTTGTGGAGCGTATCAAAGTCCATGAAGCCAGTTGGCTGCCTCCCGAACCAGCCACAAACACGAGCATGCCTTGCATGTCGCTCTGGAATGAACCGTTTTGCACCGGAGAGTCCCTCAAACATGGACGTGCTCAATGTTCTTGGTCTCGCCTTCGACTTGTGCGGTCTTACGTGGACCGTCCTCCACGACCTCGTGGGTCTCGTCGTCAATGTGTAAATCCCGAAGGTACACCATGACCTCGTCCTTGTCACCAAATAGCTCAGCCATTTCCTCGAGGGGTCGACCCCTAGTTTCGGGAATGCAGAACCACATCCAGACCCACCCGACGGCGCTGACGACGATGAAGACCTGTGGGATGATTAGCATTTTTCCACGAATGGTAAAAACGTGGGGACAAGCACAGGAACGGGTATCTTACCAGAAAGTACCTCCAGCCAATATGTGCAAACGCCGTGGCCGTGACTTGGAGGTAGACCAAGTCGGTAAGGACGAAAACAAGCCATGACAGAGCAACGCCGCGGACTCGATCATGGTTGGGCCAGATTTCTGCAAAGAAAACAAAGCCCGCAACGTCGATGCCGGAGGTGTAGACGGCCTCAAACAAGAACAGTGCAAACACACCGGCACTCAGCCCCGCCTTGTTGCTGCCTCCACTGGTTCTGCCATCGTGGAAGGTAGCATACTCTGCGACCATGGCAGCCTCGATGCTCAAACAAATGACACAAGCTCCGACAGCAAAGAGCATAATCGGTCGTCTCCCAACACGATCGAGTAAAAGTGCCCCAACGAGATTCCCAAAGATACTGACTGCGAGAGAGCGAATCAGCGCCACAAATCAATTCAGAGCATAGAAAGTGGAAAGCCCTACCAGAAACCCACGCAGCCTGTAGGATGAGTTGATCCTTGGGGTTAAAGCCCAAGGCACTGTAAAAGGTCGGTCCCTTTCGTCAAAGTCAACATCACCACTGGACTAACGAATGACAAGGGAAATGGTTCGTACATAGTTGTTGATGACCAGATCGCCTGTGCTCTGGCCAACAAAGGCAAAGCCCATGCCAACCATTAGCCTCTTTTGGTTTGATGGCTTGGTGAACAACTTTAACCAAGACGAGCCGATCGTCCGATCCAACTCGGTTTGTTTCTGCATCTGATAGAATTCCTCCCGGGCAAACACCTGGTCGGCATCGTTTTTAGTCGAGTGGAGCGAGGAAACGACTTTCCAGGCCTCCTCGTTTCGATTTTTGAGAAGGAGGTATCGAGGGGACTCGGGGAGGTAGTAAACAAGTACGAGCATCAAGATCGGCCACGGGACGGCCAGGGCAAGAGGTGCACGCCACTGCACGGTCTCGTTGCTGGAATATGAGAACGCCAGGCCCATGTACGCGGCGATGGAGTATCCAAAGCCGCACATGACGCCGTTCAGTCCAACGAAGAGACCACGCAATTCGGGTGCAGCGATCTCAGCAGTATAGATAGGTACTGGTTGTAGACATCAGTGTGTGTTCGTTCAACGACAGACGAAACGGGGGAAACGTACGAACGACACAGAGTGCATACGCGCCAGCACCGGCGAAAAATCGAAACACGATGAACATGGCGATGTTCTGAGCGGCAGCAACCAGGGTAGAGCCAAAGATTGACACAACGGACGCGGCCACGACGCCAGCCCTGCGGCCCCATCTCTCCATGACGAAGAGATTGGCGATGATGCCGAAGAAAGCACCAGCCTATGCGATATCAGATTAAATAGATTTCATCAGAAAGCAGGAATCCGTACCTGATAGACACCATTTGTGGCTCCGATGAGATCACCGGCGGTCCTGGGGTCCTCCAGTCCCATGTACTTCAGGAAAGCTGGGATTCCCAGGGTTGGGCCGATGATCTCTGAAGGGTAACCCCAGGCAATCTGGCCTGTGGCAATGGCCAAACAGGCCCAGAAGTTTCGCCATTTGAACGGAGCATCGGAACCAAAAGCCATGGTGATGTGGATAGCTTGATACTTGAAGAGATCCAATACCACAGGTGAGAGAGAAACACAGAATGTAGTCTTCCACGAGGTCTTGATATATAAAGGTGAGGGTTATAGGCGTAGGACTCTGGAAGAGTTTCTCTAGGGCTAGCCACATTGGGCCAATGGAGGTAGAATCCCGCGTGCAGGCAACGGCGACGAATGGCGGTCTCGAGTCCATATCGGTGGAGACGAAGCTGGTGACTCTCCATCATCCCCGGAATTCTGGGGTTATGGCCATGCAATACCAGTTGGGACACTGCCACGCGAATGTCAACCCCAGACCCCGAAGCAGACAACAGGCACCCCGGTTCCGATCCAGGACCATATTGGCCGGTCGTCTGTGTCGCAGGTGTGGGCGGAAATTCGGCTGGTTAGTTGGAGCCACCGCGGAGGAATAAAACCGCGTCCCAAAGCGGTTATCAGGGTCCGCCTCAACACTAATACACAGTGAAGACCTCGACGAAGCCGAGGCAAATCTGCTCAGGCAACATAGCTGCTCGGGATCTCTGTCGTGCTCAGAATCAAGGGCGGCGGCTGTCCGACCGAGACGGACAAAAGACAAAGTTACGAGTCCATGGCCTCGTCTCCGGCATTCCTATTTGGGTAGACAGGCGATTTGATATAGACACTTGGCAAAGATGGAGAAGTGTTGTTGGAGGTTGTAGTGTACCAGGGGACCGGCGGAGTTGATTCGTTTTCGGACACGGTTAAGAATCACCGCCTCCGTCTTCTCCTCGTATTACATTCGCTTAGGTAAATGTGCGTGCCAAGCCTGATACTCCAAAATTTAATCAACAATACTATCGACCTCCCCATGAAGAAGCATTCCACGTAGGAATCAACAACAATATAACTTATAATCACACATTTTTTTCCGCAATCGACCATAGGATCAGGAGAACAGGGCTTCCCGTTTGCTCAGCCGTACTTAAGCCTGGTGCCGGCCATTTAGTACCACCGTGGGTGACCAGGTGGGAATCGTGGCTGTCGATTGTTTTTGTTGGGCGGTATCCTTCCAGGTACTTAGGAGTATTTGTGAATGGCATGCAACACGACATTATCATCGACATGGGCAGACACTAATGTCATTTTTCTGGCAGATGTCGGCACCAGGGGCCATCCAGGACGTGGCAAGGTGTACCGAGTACCGAATATAGCCACAAGGGCTACGAATAAGCACTGGGATACTTTAAGCTTACCTATAAGTGCTCGCTAGGCACAGGTCCCAGTGGGGAGCTAGCCGGAACGAACAGGCCTCCCCTGTAAATCGGATGCAGTATCCGCCGAATGAGCGTGGTAGCGAAAGCATCTGTCCGAGCCTCTGAGAGTTTCAATTCATAAACAGCACTTGACAATTTGTTTTAAGAATCACCGACTGCAATGTTTGCGGCTGCGTTGGTGGCTACCTTCTACTGCGCGACATGCTACTGATGTGGCCTAAGTGCAGCAGGTGCGGCCATCTGGAATAGGCAACGCCAACCCAAGCCCTCCACGCGGCGAAGTTTCCTCTTGCTATCGCGAGCCGCGGAGATCACTTTGCGATCGTGTTCTCTCCAACCTAACATGCCCATCCATGCCTGACGTTCCTTCCCAATGAAGTTTTGATTTTCTATCGTTTGGCATGCCATCGCACCCTGCAAAACGAAGAAACTCTTTCCTCTCGCCACAACAAGAACCCTCGGTCAAGAAAGCTGCACTCCTCACTCACCAGTCGTGGGAGGAGGAATTCTTTGATGACACTGATATTCCCAGCGACACATACAGAGCTTGGGTTTCTGATGATGAGGAAACTCCTCTCCGCTTTCAATCTACGTTGAGGTTAATCCGTCCCTTGAATGATCCGCCACTAGGCGCATCGGCCCAAGTATGGCTTGCGGTGTCGGATCTTGGGGCATTTGCCGTCAAACTGGTTGGTAGCCCTTTTCTTCGATGGCAAAGGTGTTCCGTTACCAAACCTCACTCCAGTTTACCCCGTATACCGATGAAGACGCGGCAGCACAAGCAGAACGCCTGCCATACCCGAAGCCCAGCATACAAAAAGTTCTGCATGATTGCCATCCGTTCGTGTTAGAGACGAGGGCTTACGAACGCATCCGCAAGTCCTGTCTGCCTTCTCAGCGATTCTTTTTCCTGCGGTATTATGGAATAGTCGACAGCCCTCTTCTTCCACCTCCATACCAGCGGCGAGCCCGGCCTTGGGTTCGCGAAGGCATTGTGCTGGAGTACTTGACACCTGGGCAACGAAGCGGACGGCTATATGCGGATAATCGTTCCGATCGTGCACGAACGTATCTCGAGTCGCTACAGGCTGAGTTTGTGTGTCTCGACCTCTCAAAAATTGAGAAGAGGTGGTATCTCAGCGTCCTAGGTGATCGAATTCGGATGATAACGGCTTTAAATGGACTTGGAATATCTCATGGCGACGTCAAGCCCGACTGTTTTGGTCTGCCAGATTCGCCACATGATATTGCTCTATACGATCTCGGCCATTCTTACACCTTCACTCCAGACCGTCCCTGTATCACTAATGGCACCCGCCGTCTACGACCGCTAAAGCTCGCGGAGAAAGTCGATTGTCGTAACGCCCAACACACCGTCCTCAAGATGTGAGATCAGTATTCTCCGCTGTATACGAGGCCTAGGGCTAACCTACGAACAGGGTCAAGTCGGATCATTTATTCAATCACTTTAAACGGCTACAAGGGACGACCGAAGAGGATCCACGCAAAGCCCTACGCTTTGCCATTGACCAGAGTTCGCTAGCAACCGATCTCCCACTTATTATCCTTTCCGGTCTTCTCGAGGACGACGGTTTGTATTCTATTGGCCCTCGCAGTACTACATGGACAGACTGATTCGTTATAGGCCCATTTTTCCCCTCTCTTTCTTCAATCCTGCCATTCCTGGAGCCAGCAGCATCCGGGCGACCAGCGACTTGGACAGTGGCCATGGCAAACCAGCTCGACCGCTTTGTCGCGGTATCTTGCTCTGACGTGAAAATCGGCGCCGTTGCATCTATGGCTATTCGTGTCGTATCTCTTGTCTCGTCCACTGGTGTCGTGATTGAGCAGCTTCACCTACTCTGCCCAGAGCAGCCAGCGATGCACACCACTAGGAGGTCTATGATTGCATTACTCCCTAGTGTCTGGCTGCAATCTCTCGATACGAGACGATTTTTCTGGGCCCTATACTGTTCGACTTGGCTTGCAGGGAATGGCAAACCAGTGACATTATTTGATAGACAGCAAGTCCGCACTACGATGGGGAAATGCCATTGACCGACGGTACTCCTGACATTACCTGCTATCTGATCCTGACCACCTGGAAACTAGGACCTAGGATATCAAGCCGCTGTTACCTCCTTGGACTGTTGCAACGGCTTGACTGCAAGACACCATTCCTCACGCGAAGGACCACGACAACGATAATTTCCTGGTCAGCGTGTCCTACCACTCAGCAGTTCGGCATTATTGTCGCAGCCCTCTTGGATGATTGTTCAGGGCCTTTTTCGAGTCTCTTCCTTTTTTCTGGTTTCACCTGATCTTCAGTCTGGAGTTCCTCGTAATGGTGGGACAAGTTGCGACTTTCCCCCGCTAATAGAATCGAGTGAAACACAGCAAGATTGATTGTCTCCTTCGAGCTTCCGTGGTCCCACGCAACTTTGAGTACTTCCAGCGCAGCAACATCTTCGTCTTGTGGCTTTGGTCAGAATGACATTAGGCTGAACGTTTCTGATACATCCGAGTTTGAGGTGCTAATGGACGTATTCGAGGGTCCTCGCTGGTGGCCTTCAGAGACTTTGTGTCTCCGGGGCCTTGTTGCCATATTCTTAGGCATCGGCGGTGAAAGTCTAAGGCGGATCAAGACAACACAGTCGTCCGTCAAAATAAATCCATATCGCGTTTGATAGACGGTACAAGAGTGCTGGATTTGCTCGAAAGGGCGGATTATGTTGACATCATCTAGTAGTTCATGGTTCCCGTTAGCCACTATGCCGATCGCTCTGTCAACATCCCATCCTAGTTTTGTGTCCCCACAGACAAGTGCGTGACAAACTCCAACCGGATGTATGTACTGAAGATCAGTACTACTGGCGCCCCAATCTGGACGAACGATTGGTATGGCAATGATTCGTGAACCACTAGCAAGGAATAATGGCCCGGGTAGAGAGCGCGACACTATACTGATATTCGTGCTCCCGTGAAGTAAAGCCAGGCCTGTGCGCTGAAGACGTGAAGAACATCGACTCGACTTTCGATGCGGACGGAGGAGGCATTTGATGGGATTTGGGATCCCAAAGGGGGTCCCGCGCCCGACGCCTGACTTGTGCACGCCTGCATACCTACTTACTGGATGGGCCATGCTGGTCGAAGGCCGTGGAGGGCCTGGGGTGTTGGTCATGGGTGTGGTGTGTCGTGTGCAGCTGATCATGTTTGTACAACCCCATGGTGCCTTAGCGGTGTCGTGGCATGGACAGACAACTCGAGGGACCCTATGGACAGAGAGTACAAATAACTCGTGCCAGCAGGGATCTCTGGTTGGAATGACAGGGGCCTCTCCCTCTCCATGCAAAATGAAATTGGGACGCACAATTCACCTGTTAGATCGAGGATGCCTTTTGCCTCCTGTTGAGGTCACTCTTATTTCTTACCTCTAGAAATGGAATGACTGGTGGATTGTGTGACTCCTCTAGCAGTCTGATACCAGGAAATGCAAGATGTGACAGATATATTCCAACATTTCCCGGTTCGATAGATGGCAGAGGGAGATACTATACGCGCTCTATATCGAGGTTCCGTCTATCACAGAAAGGCCATCTCGCGCACAAGGCCTGCCTTGACCCAACCTCTCGCAAAATTCCTACCTGTCCACAACAGCACGGCGATCCACCAGACCCTTCCCATGACACGACTACGCCTTCCAGCGCAACCGCGACACCGTTCAGGGCGAAGAACTTGGCTTCGCCGACCGCCATGCTCCAGTCGCCAGCGAGGACACCGCGGACAGAGAAGGCGTGAACGCACGCAGAGCTCAAGAAGGCGCCAATGACCTTTCCGATGTCGGCTGGTGAATCTGGGCCCTTCTTCAAGAGTTGACGCTCCACCCACCCCCCTGGCCGTATTCCGTAGACCAGGAATAGCCTCGCGAAGAGCCTGTGCCAGCCAAAACTCCAGAATTGTCGGACGCTGGTGATTTGCCACGGTCTTGTCGTGTACAGCGGAGGGAAAAAGGCGAGTGGGCTTGGTGCGAGTGGATTGAGCATGATGGCAAAGAGGGAATGGCCGCATGAGAAGGCCGCCATGAGGAACGCTCCCAGTGCAGCCGTCAACAGTAGTTGGAGCCCTATGGATACTGAAGTATTTCGAACACCGGCGTGTAATATAGATCCTGGAAAGTGGCAGAAGGATTCCGGTTACAGATCCGTTGACGCGTCCAAGGGTCCAACTGCTGTTCACTGTGAAAGTCTCGTATTGACTGGCTGGCTGGCTTCGAAGTGGAAGCTAGGTGTAGTCACTCCATCCTCCTCAACAGCGACGATAGACGTTCTCGACAGGCCGACGTAGTGGGATGATCCGCGCCTAGGACCCTCTCGTAGCCTGACACCGCACGTTGATAGAGACCTAGCGCCTGCTGTAAATCTTGCTTAGCATCGAGTAGGTAAGCAAGGTTGTAGACGCTCGTCAATGTGTCAGGATGATCTACCCCCAGCGCCTTCTCCCTTCCCGCCAGTACTCGTCGGTGTATCGCCTCCGCCTCTTCGTACTTCCCTCGAGATTGTAGTACCGACCCTAGATTATTTATACTCGTTAACGTAGAGGGATGATCCACCCCCAGCGCCTTCTCCATTCCTACCAGTGCTCGTCGGTACATCTCCTCCGCCTCCTCGTACTTCCCTCGAGATCGTAGTACTAACGCTAGATTATTTACGCTCGTTAATGTGTCGGGATGATCTACCCCCAGCGCCTTCTCGCTTCCCGCCAGCTCTCGTCGGTATATCTCCTCCGCCTCCTCATACTTCCCTCGATGTCGTAGTACCAACGCCATTAATCCAAGGCTGTCCAGTGTTGCCTCTGCCCCGCTCCCGAGCAGCGCCGCTCGGATCTCGTACGACTGTGATACATGTTCAAATGCAGCTTCATACCGTCCAGACGCCCATAGAAACCACGAAATATGGTACTGGAGCTGTCCGCGATGTTCACTCGTCAGGACAGTTCCACCTTGGTGACGTAGTGCCGCCTGCGCATGAGGGAGGAGCGTCTGACACACCGCCCAGTTACTATACTCTCCACTAGGAAAGCTGGCTGCGAGGACCTGAACGGCTTGCTCCACGCTCGACTCTTTCTCCTTATGCTGCTCCAACCAATACCGCACCGACTCCTGCACCAAAGGGTGCATAGAGATCGTCTCATCCGCCGCCGCCACCACCAACGAGTATCCCGTTATCGTGCCCAATACATGGCGCCAATCTGCTTCTACCGTCTGCGTACGCTGTACCAACGCCAACGGGATAGACTGTCCATCCAAAAAGGCTAGGAATGCGAGGAGCGTGGCAGCGGCGCCGTCACGTTGTCGCATCTGGTCGAAGGATAGTCTCCATGTCCGAAAGACGGAATTGGGAAACCCCCGCTCCCGCCGAGGATCCTGCAATTCGATACTCAACTGCCTCATCCGCTCCGACTCACTGGTCCGGAAGACCCTCAGATAGTCCGCAATCGACATGACGTTCCGATTAATGAATGCCGCCGCTTGCGTGATTGCCAGCGGTACGCGCGCGAGCGATGTCAGGAGCTCCTCCACCGTCTCGTCGGAGGGCCAAGCCGTCGCCGTCGTCATCTTCTGTTCCAGGAGCAACTTCGCTTCGGGTAACGAGAAAGGGCCTACGGCGATGGGTGTTGCGCTCTGTCCGAGGCTATCCGCTACATCCTTGTTCCGTGTCGTGATTAGGATCCGTCTCGAGGGATCTAGAGTCCGAGGTAGGTAATCTATCAACGGCTTTATCGCGGTATCCTCGTCGGGATCTGATTCACCCGAAGGGATGGCACCTAGTAGAAGATTAGCATCGTCGGCATTGTCCACAATCAAAAGCCACGGTCCGTTCCCCTCGTCGATTAACCACCCGGCCACGAGTGCGCACGCATCCATCTTAGGATCCTCACATCCGGGTAAATTCAGTTGCCGCGCCATTTGCTGGCATGCCTGTATAAACCGACTCCTCGTGGCCGCATACATCCAGAATACGTGGCTGCGCGGGTGCTCTTGGTGGTACTGATACGCGTAGGTGATGGCAATTTGCGATTTCCTGATTCGGCGCATTCAGTACACCGAGATTTCTCCCCTGAAGACTGAACCCTACAGCACTTACCCAGTCCCACCCATTCCATGCAGAACCGCTCGCCGATGTTGCGTCAGCTGATCTTTGATAGACGACGAGATGGACTCTCGGGGGATAAAATGGGGGTCGGGCTCGAAGGGCACCGCGAATACTGGTTTGCGAGACGACGGATGCACTGTCACATCGTCAGTTTCTGGCTTTCAGTTTCCGGCTTTCACTCTCCCTTGATCGTATTACAGACCCTTCCCCAAAAATAAATCCTCCTTCCACCGGTATGAAATTACCTACCTGGCTCGTCTGACTGTGCAGAGCTGGGCTCATTCTGGGTCGATGACCGTAACTCCATTTCCCACCGAGTGAGCTCGCCGAGTACCCTCTTGAAACCTGTCTCGTCTGAAGAAGCAAACCGAACCATATTACGATGGTTAGCGTGGATGCCGATCGGGTTATATCCTGCGAACGTGGCCGACTTCTTGGAAACAACCTTCCCCACTACCGGGAACGGTAGCTCCTCAAAGAAGCAGGTCACCTCGAGCCGCCGGTTGCTCTCCCTTAGGTCACGGATCATCGCTAAGAATTCGACTTGGACCGACTCCAGAAGCTGGTCATCCAATTCTAAAATCTTCAGCAACGACTTATTGGTGGACTTGACCATCCCCAGAGCCGACGCCGGAACCCTCGCCCAGTCGGCCATCCGGCTTCCCATATGAGGCGTGCCCATGAATATGATCCCTTTGGTGCACTTAAACATCTCTTTCAAATGGTCCTCAGGGTTATTGCGCGACAGGAGGATCGCCTTTTTGCACACGAGGCCGCCCAGGCTGTGGGCCACGAAGATAAGGGGACGATCGGATGCATTGTGGCGGGCCCGGTCGGCGGTCAGGTCATGGAGGAGGTTGGAAGCGTGATCGAGCAGTCCATTGAACCCCGGGACCGACGTTCTCACTACGTACGCATCATAGCCGTACGTCAGGATACGTGCGGTGGTGAGCTGGGGTGCTAGCAAGGTCTGCGGCCACGGTTGGGACTGTCCCTTGGCCGTCCACGTGGTGTCTCGATTGCCGGTCAGGCCGTGGACGAAGCAGACGTCGACCGTTGCGTCACTACCGTCGTGGAGCACCTTCACTCCGTCAGGGAAGGGGACGGTGGGCGCACGGCTTGGCGACGATGATCTCGAACCTTCGTCCCCAACCGGCTGCGGGGCCCCAGAGCGTTTGAAGAGTTTGTCCTTGAACTTGAGCATGATGGCGCGCTTCGGTCTGGCCTGTTGGCCGTCAAAGAGGGAGCACCCCGTCTGCTTTGACCGATTACGCTCGGCCAGGAACTGGGAGGTGTCGTTCAGATGATCAGGCTGATGGGGTTTCTTTTGCGAGAGGCCGTTATAAGAGCGGTTGCCCTACCAAATACGCGGCTGAAGCTTCAAGCTCCCCAGGCGCCGATCAACCGGCCAATGATCCAGTCGCATCAAATTTAGCCTCGCGTGGCAGAGCATCCACCCCGATGTCCACACAACTCTACGATCTGCGTGGCTGTACGGAGAAAGGCGTTCTTTAGCCACAGACCAAGGCCAATGGCATGGCTAAGGCGTAGAATTGAACCGGCAAGTTCTCCAATCATACAGCATTTCATCGACAATTTAACCACACAATTTGATGGGGGCTTTATCAGCTGCGCCTAGTGCATGTCTGTGCAGATTTGCTCTGGGCCGCCCTTCAACGTGGTGTGGTTAATGATACTGTGCTTCAAAATGCTCTTGTCACATGAATTGGATTGCGGCGGCCACGGTCTAGATATCCATGGATGTAGATGGCTTCAACCAGCTATGTCGCTTCGGACACACGAGGCTCCCTTTGGAGAAGATGGCAAAGGTGAGCCGTGGGTATGCATATGTAGGCGTGTCCGTGGCAGTATCGATGGCGGGAAGTTGCCAACTTGCATACGGCCATGCTAATCTGACCCAACGAATACTGGACGACTTATGCTGCAGGTCAGGCAGAAGTCGGCGGGAAGAGTTTTTCGCTCGTTGCGATCTCTGGCAAGTTGGTGCCGAATGATGGGACGGGGAAATTACCCGACTCTGGTGCGCAGAGGGTGGACAAATAATACTCTCCATGAAAATGATATTACTGCCTCTCGATCCACGAACGCCCTTTCGAAGGCTCGTAGCGGCATATCACAGGACGCAGGACCAATGCGCAACTGCGCAACAGATGGTGTAGAGTGGGAGCGAGAAATGCCAAAGCTCGGAAAAGATGGTGGTGATCTTTGTACGACAGCGGCTTGCGGACGAGCCGCGCTTTGCGAAAGTGGTGAACTGTCGCAAACGCATTGTGGTTCTGGAAGCCCTACGTTCTCGACTGTGGTTCTTGCAAGAAAGATAAGACATGCAGGAGCTTGGGAGACAGTGGTTGACAGGCAAGGCTGCGTTACCCAGGCAACTACTGGTGGCGAGGCCGCCAATTTACGTTCGGCCTTGTCTGGATGGAAACCTGACAAGACACCCCAAGTGTTGAATCACTGCTAAACATATATATGTCTCTATCACAACCAACAAGGTACGTGGAGTCTCGGATACCTAATTCATGCCGCAGGTTCAGACCTGTAGACTATTCCCAATCTATACTGTGATATCGGTTCCCGGACAAGCATTTCTCAACTCCCCAGGAAAGGAGAACGCCTTCATGCGTTGAAAGTAAAAGGTCCACCCAGTCTTTGAGCCACTCATGGTGTGCTGTGGCCAGCGATTATCCCAATGCCTAATTCAATTCGAGACAGCCTGAACAGCGGGAAAGTAAAGACGGGTTGTCTAAACGACGACAATACAGCAACACCTCCGCATATCTGCTCCAATGTCATCCGCCATGCCCTCAGATGTTCTCGTTAAAAGATGGCACACCAAACAGGCACGTAGGATAGACGCCCGAGGCATCGCTCTGCAAAAACCCATCAAAGTCGACGTTGGAGAAGTCCTGGCCCGACGCAGCACACTCCTGCGTATTGTCCGCGATGGCCTTGATCGAGAATCCAAATCGGCTTTGAAGGTCGCCCATGGCCCTCGGATGGTCGATGGTCACGGCGGTAGGCACCGTCCCGCCACCCTCCGGGAGTCCGAATCGGCGACATTGGGAGCCGTCGGCGGACAGCGTGTCCTCGGGGTTGTTTTGACAAACTGCCACGAGATTGTCGACGATCTGTAACATTTGGATCTTGTTCATGGCCTCGGCCAGGAGGAAGGCGCGCAGGTTCTGCGCCATGATGGTCGCGTAGTCGGATTGACTGGGGACAGAGTTGAGCTGCACTCCGCCCAGGAGGATTTGGGCACTGGAATCGTCGGATTGGGCGTCCACGAAGACGGCATTCAGCTGTTCCATGATGGCGGCTTGGACGTTTGGGACGGCATTGTCGAGCAGGCCTTGCAGGATCTGAGGCTGGTCTTGCAAGGTCTGCGCGGCGTCCTCGGCGTCCTGTTGGGCTTTGTCGACCACCTTTCCGGCCAACTTCTTGAATGTTTTCAGCACTGTTCTGATCGTGGCGACTTCGGCACCCGCAGCTGGAATGGGTATGAATGAAAGAGACAGGTCTGCAAGCTTTAACAGGGTAGCTCGCGATATCGGGAGAGGCTCGGGGGAGATGTCGTTGACCATCGCGGCAAGATAGCCCTCTGAGACCAGCTGGTCGTGAGCGTCTTGGATGCCAAAGAACATGTTCCTCAGGTTCTGGTACAAGTTGATCCAAGCCTGGGCGACGAAGCCAATCTGGGGGTTCGAGAAACTGTCGCAGATATCTCCGTTGGCAGGGATCGCGCACGCCCCTGGATTGTTGAAGTCGGTACAAGCAAAGCCGGTGACTTGGTTCCCGCTGAACTGCGCGATGAATTGCTGAGGGAAATTTGCAGCTGCGATTTTCTGTGAGTAGGTCCGCTTGTGAACTACAATATTGATCGATACACTTACACTGCCCAAAGCCGGCGGTGCCAGTCACCAAGGCATCCAGATTGTTGGCATTCCAGTTATCCGGGGTCAGGTCAGCTGCTACACATCCCGTGACGAGTGTGGGAGTGTCGTCCTGTCGGGCACTGAGTGCTCTCGATGAGACTGCGGAGGAGAAGAATGCGAGAAGAAGTGACGCTGATGCGAGAACTGGTGCGGAATACATGACGAGAGCTTGTGTGGTCAGGTGGAATAGAAGAGAGAAGGTAGGCAGGTATACAGGACACGCAACAGAACTCAGTACCCGTTATCGAATTGCTACGGAAAGTAAAGCAGTATACACAGTACCGCGTCGGAGCCTTCTTATATCACCACTCCAGAGTCCAGACACTGTCCTCACCGCTACTGACAACAATGCTATTTCTACGCCTCGTCCTCGTGTCCATGTCAGCCCTACGAAAAGTCTATCGACGGACATGGTACAGCCAGGTGTGCACTCGTCGACCAAACTGCCACCATGAATCGGACTTTCGGAGAAGATAATCATTGGTCACTGATTGACTTCTCCTTCAAGCTGAGGCGAAGCCTGGTGGCTGATGGTGGGTGGAGATGGCGAGCTGCGAACTACTCGTGCGGCAAGGCACGCCCTCCGAAGCCAGTGTGCAATGCTCCATCATCCATCCAACACTATACCCGTCAAAATCCAGCAATTGTCTCATTACAAAGATCACAAAGATCACACACAGACAGGCGCCGCAGGTGCAGGTGGCGGACGATCTGATCCGTGCGACCCACTTGGATCGTTGGATCGGTGGGTCTATTGTGACAATCGTTGGTGTTTCGTGTTTACATGACCTTACATGACCTTATGTAAAAATGCCGCCCAAGCCCAATCCGGACAGCCTTCCTAAACCGGTAAAGGAGAATACCATCTTTCCCTTCGGAATTTTAACTCGTGGTTACTTGTGCGAGTGTAACATCGTCCTCCGGGACACACAAGTCTTATTTGCACTTCCTTTGTCGCTTTTCTCATTCGAACGGCCGCATTCACCGCCTGTGTCATGGTTCAGACAATTACGGGGGTTCAATTCGCCACGCGCGGATACAAGCATCTGCTACTCCGGAGCAGGCGCTCTTCCACGCTCGATGATAGCGGAGATAATACTCATTATTTACCTGTTATTAGACCCTACCATTGCCTTTTGGTGAATCACAAACTCTCATTCGGGGGTGATTAATCGCCAAGTTTCTCTCTCTTCTGACAAAGGCGGTGGGTGGTCGAAGAGGTGAGCGAACTTGAGACCAAACTCTCGAGTGGTACTGAAACACAACATTGGGGGCAGAAGAGGCGTTTTGTTCCACACTGTTGAAAATACAGACACAGTCTGGTCGAGTGTATGTAAATGAGGCTCTTGTTGAGAATGGTATTCATTCGGACAATATTTGGCTTTTTATAACAGGACATCTGAGATTCGACGAAGCGAAACAAGGCACCTTAGGTAGTGTTGACAAAGGCGTGTCTATTAGACTTGGATTAACACTAGGCACTTACTACTCACTATATACCATGGGGCGTCCGTGTCGAAAAATCTCCCTCCCCTTCCCACAAACATCTGTCCCTAAACCATCCTAGCCTGCCTACCTGCCTGACCAAGATCAAGCAAACGAGATGCTGATATCGTCCAGCCCGATCGATTCGTTCTGGTTGTCCATAAAGACGTTGATCAAGACCGGGGAGAGGCCGGTCCCGGCGGTCCAGGTGAACGTGTACGTGAGCTCCTGCCAGTCGGCGGGACCGGTATTGGAAATGGTGAAATCCGTGCTGAAGCCGATGTCGGTTACGATCTGGAGACGGACACTGGAGAAGCCGGCACACTGGGCGGCGCCATTGCAGTCGCCGATGGCCCAGAGCGTGATTGTGTAGTCGATCCCATTGCAGAAGGTTGGAGACTGCGCGATGCGCGCTTCTGTCGGCGACGTGCCCGTGTTGGTTACTTGGCTGGAGAGACAAAAAAAGAACGCAGAGCTTGTTAGCGCAAGATTCACAGCCACCCGAGAGTCTGGGATACAATGGAAGTTAGGAGGACGGAGAGAGAGTAGTGAATACGTACAAGTAGTTATTGCCGGAATGGGGGATGAAGATGCCCGTGCCTAGTTGTTCAACCTCGTCCACTAGCCCGGAAGTGAAGCCACTATAGACCCAGGGTGATATATTTGTATTGCTGGACTCAAATCCACCATTCTGCAGTGTTGGAGTAGGACAATTCGGCGGAGGGGTCGTGGTGGTAGTTGTGGTGGTCGTGGTGGTGGTCGTTGTCGTCGTCGTCGTTGTAGTGGTTGTGGTGGTGATCGAAGTCGTAGTAGGAATGGTGGATGTGGTAGTCGTTGTTGTCGTTGTAGTGGTTGTGCTTGGTGTGGTCGTAGTCGACAAAGTTGTAGGCGTTGTTGTGGGAACGGTTGAAGTTGTTGTCGTGGGTGAGGACGTCGAGACCGAGGACGAAGTAGAGGTTACGCCGGAAGTGGTAGTAGCAGTGCTTGCAGAAGTGGTTGGGGATTTCGTGCTGGTCGTTGTCGGGCTATATAAGCTGCGTCAGTGAATCTGGCAAAACTTCTAAACCTCGCCAGCGGTAATGCCGATTAAGCTCGACATGTCGAAGAAGCAACGACATGCCGAGCTCAACCTGATGCGAGGGAAGTGATGGGAGAACATACGGTGAGGTTGTTGTCGAAGAAATAGCGACAGTGGTAGTGGTTACCGGGATGCTAGGCCAGCTAGGCCAGCTCGGCTGAGGCCATCCTGGTTGCCCTCCGCCCGGAGGCCCAGGCTGCGGGAAACCAGGAGATCCAGGCCAGTCTGGAGGATTACCACCGGGATATCCTGGTCCAGGATACCCAGGACCATCTCCCGGGCCTCCTGGACCGTCTCGGCCGGGGGGACTAGCTGGAGGACCGCCTGGGGGACCGCCTTGTCCGGGGAAGCCAGGAGGACCTCCAAATCTATCAGGCAAGGCGAGAGCTTGGATGCCAAGAGCAAAGAGCGAAAGTGAAAGAACTTTGTAGGTGACCATAATGACGCTTTTCTGGAACGATATTATCGAAGCAGACTGTAACAGAGCGAGCGGAAAAGGTGGGGAATGGGAAGTTCAATGAGTGACACCACCAAGGGAGGAACAGAGCAAGCACAAATCAGGTCAGGAAAAGAGCGTGGGAAGAGAAATAACAGTAGTAGTAGTGGATAGTCGAGGAACGGGATTCAAGTCCGTTATTATATCGCAGTCGTAGTCTGCAACGCGCGCGTGCTCGAAGGATGACGGTTAATCACCACGGCCTGCATCACATATGTGATTACTTACGAGTACGAGTAAAGCGAGCGGCCTTTGTATTCATAGGCGCCTAAAGAGGACTTGTCTTAGCATTTATTGTATCTAGAGCAGGGCCATCAACGCCTCCAGTATGACTTAATTTCGATTCGCCTGGTGTTTGGCAGTCGTCGCTGACCTTCCAAAGAGCGATGCTCCCCGACTTGGACGTTGGGGTGGGTCGTTGTTGGGGACTATTCCTCGTACAGATGTGAGGCTGTTCTGGTGGGGCCGATCTAAGCTTTTCTGGACACTCAATCTCGCATCGCCTCCTTTTTTCTAGTCCCGCATTTGTGATAGATATTAGGATTGCCAAGTTTTGTGGGGAGAAGGTTTTCTCAATCCCTGGATCTTCGTCGACTCATCCAAAGCGTCACAGCTCTCTGCCGTAGTTCAATGCTCTCAGCACGAATACTTCTTTCTTCCTACCCCGCCTTGAATCTTGACACATCTATTGATAAAGTGTAGTATCCTACGTAGCAGATACGTTTCTTTTGTTATGCCATAGCCTGAAAACAGGGTAAACTAGCCAAGGGCTGGGCGCATCCCAAATGGGTTTATTCCTTCTATCGACCTATCTGACAGCCTCCGCGGGCTTCTCTTACACTAGGACCCCTAACATAGACCGCAGCCTCACATATGACTCGCACGAAGGAGGACAACAACGCGCATCCGTCCAAGCGCAAGGCTGAAGTGCGGTGCACGGGGGGATCTCAATAATGCTTCGCCCGAGTAAGCTACGTTGTTGAGAGAAGACATTGCGCATAATCCTCACAGATGAAGATGGAGAGAATCGTGGGTTGAAGTCGCAACCACAAACCACCTGACAACGGCAAGTCGAGAAGTACCTCGTACGGAAACACCCTTCACGTGACCTAGTGACAATTCTTGCGCCAAGACATGTCGAGATCTGTGACTGACAGGGTTGCCAAGGCGATGTAATGACCGTCACGCTAGTCTTCAGCCGAAGGCCTTTGGACCAGCGCCGGTAGGCCCCTGTAAATTACTCGAGGATATACTCGGTAAAGTACAGAATTCACCATGTTCCTCCATTGAGTTACAGATCTGGATGAGCAAATGCACGTGACTGTCTCAGTCAGCGAGGGCCTGATACTCGTACAAGACAGTACAACTCTTCGTATCCTACGTAGTCTGACTACCACCCCAGGCGCCTCCGAGTCATGACAAATTTCTCCGGGACCCTTATCTACAAACAAACAGCCTCGGAATTTAGGACATGAAATACGCGGCGCATGCAGCACGATCCTCGGCTCATTGGGCGCTCTCGGTGCCCGTCCAATTGCTGGTTGTGGGAGTGCTTAACGGTCCCTTTTTCCATCGACCTGGGCAAGACACTGGGAGGAAATTGGTCGAATGTGAAGCTGGGTTGGGACGTCCGAGAACCTAACAAGGCTGGTCGGTAGCCAGAAAATGGTGAGTGCAAAGACATTCACATCACCTTCTGGGTAGGCATAGGTGAAAAGACCGGAAGCTTTCCGAGCCTTCACCTCCAATGGCAACGGCCCAGTTCGGTTAAGAGTTCATCTGAGCTGCGGAGAAATACTACCAGACATCTTGTAGTAGGCCGAAGATCTCCGGTACTACGTGTTTGCTCGTCTGCTTCCGAAGTAACTTTTTAATCGTCCTTTTCCTAAACTTCAATGCCACTCTTCGAGGGTAACTTTCTGGCATAATTGCATGAGAGTCCGTTTTTCAATGGCTTCTTCAAAGATCGAAACTCCAGAGGTCGTCTGGCGGCCCGATAATCCAGAAACAACAGAGCTGGCGAAATACAGGCATCATGTCAACGACAAGTTCAAGACGAAGTTCAGAAATACGAGAGAGCTGCAACGTTGGTCGACCACTAAGCCGCACGACTTCTGGATCGACCTGTATACTTACCTGGACCTGGTCCCTGCCCTGCCCCAGGGGACACGGAAAGCATATGAAGACACAAGTTCGATGAGCAGCATCCCACGATTTTTCCCAGATGTTCGTCTGAACTATAGCGAGAACGTATTTTGCGCCGATCGTCAATCTAACGACATGGCGTTGATTGAGGTCAGAGAGGACCATTTTGTCCAACAGAATGCAGCGCGGTACGTTACATGGCAGACCTTCCGGGAGGACGTCCGAAAGACTGTAAGTGCCCTCAAGCGCAGCGGTGTCGTAGCCGGCGATCGAGTCGGTGCGATAGTTGCAACATCAGGATGTGCTGTCACCCTGTTCTACGCAGCCGCAGCCATGGGGGCTATCTTTACCTCGATCAGCCCCGAGATTGGCGTCGAGGGTTGCGTTTCTAGACTCGACCAGGTCACACCCAAGATACTGTTCGTCGACAGCCACGTCCTGTACAAGGGGAAGGTGTTGTCAACGGCAGAAAAACTCAAGACAATCGTTTCTCGCTTGAAGGAACGACCGGCGGTGTATGTCGTCCCGATCGCGGACTCCCCACCCGACTGGCCGAGTATCGACCAATTCTGGAGTAAAGCGAGTCCTGCCGACGAGTTGAGGTTTGAAAGAGTGCCGTTCAATCATCCCCTGATGATTTGTTACTCTTCGGGTACTACCGGAGCTCCCAAATGTATTGTCCATCAACACGGCCTGATTCTGCAGCACAAGAAAATTTCAGTCGTCCACAACAACCTGTCCTATCGAGACGTCATCTTACAGTACTCCAGCACTTCCTGGGTGGTGTTTTACACAATGTGCAGTCATCTCTCATCAGGGGGGACTCTTCTGGTCTACAATGGCAGCCCATTATACCCTGATGCCAAACAGCTTTTCCGCATATGTGAGAAATATCGGGTCACATATCTGGGAGTCTCTCCGCGCTTATTGCTCGAGGTTGAGCTATCAAACACCATTCCCAAGCTGGAATTTGATCTCTCAAGCCTGAAAACCGTCTACTGTACTGGCGCTCCGTTGTCGGGAGAACAATACCGGTGGTTCTATCGATCCATGCCTCCGAAGGCACAGATATGCAATGTCGCCGGCGGGACAGAGACGGCGACATCTGTTCTGGCACTAGACACGTGCGCGCCAGTGTATGTTGGCGAGATCCAGATTGCGGCCTTGGGGATGGATGTGGACATTCTAGATCCAGACACCGGTGAATCCAAGGCTGCCAGTGGAGAGGCCGGAGAGATGGTGATTAGAAAGCCATTTCCCAGTATGCCCTGTTTCTTCTGGGGTGATGTTGGCGGTAAGATCTACAGGGCCGCCTATTTCGAGCGGTTCCCGCACATTGATTGCTGGGCTGTGCATGACTGGCTGAGTCAAAATCCGCAAACTGGTGGTTACGTTATGCATGGCAGAAGTGATGGCGTTCTGAGTATGTTGTTCTTTTATTGCGTTGTCAGCTGAACCGCTTCTCTAACAGTAATTACAGACCCTTCGGGCATCCGATTTGGAAGTGGCGAGATTTATGCCATCATTGAAGCGCCCCCCTTCACGAACTACATTTCAAACAGTCTCTGCGTGGGCCGACGCAGGCGGAATGATCCAGATGAGCAGGTGTTCTTGTTCTTGGTCATGAAACCAGGTATTCTCCTCGATGAAGCTCTGCGGACGCAGATAAGATCAGCCATCCGGGAAGGTCTATCGCCGCGACACGTTCCTAAATTTGTCCTTGCAGCTCCAGACATCCCAGTCACGGTAAACGGCAAGAAGGTGGAAACGGCTGTCAAGAAGATCTTGAATGGAGAGAAGGTGGTCCCGAGTTCAACGGTGCAGAACCCAGGCAGCTTGTCGTGGTTCGAGAAGTTTCGATTCGTGGAGTCCGAGTCCAGCAGTGCAAAATTGTAGCCCGCATCTATAGATCTATAGACACCGTTCCGCTTCTCAGATCAAGTTTCTGCTTGGCGAAACTTATCGATCAGCTCAGAACCGAGTTCTCAGTGAAGAACGCGTCATCGAACAACCACGCGGCATCGGTTCCGAGAGCGGTATCATTGAATAGAGGTAGATCTTCATCGTGTATGCTACGCTGCAAGTCAACCTGGTCTGAGATTAAGGTCTGGGTTTGGGTCACCACTGGCTCCTCCCGTGGAAGAATTATATGTGGGAGCCTTGCATTGTCCTGCGAATCTCGATTGGTATCAGAAGACGACACTATGGGCCGGGTACTCTGGAAATGCCAACAACGACAGAGGTCTGGACTGAAAGCCTCGAAAAAGCGGCACAAGCTGGGCGTTAGCGGCACTGGCGCGTAGTCAAGCGTAGACTGTCCCCGGACCATCTCTCTCACCCTCAAGAGTGCACACGACACTCCGTTAGCAGATTGCCACCGGTGACCTAGGTGTCCGAGTACAGCCTTGATGACAGCAAAGTCGTCTTCAGTCTTCGTACGTAACTCGGTATAGCGGTAGCCCGTCAACCCGGTCAGACCGGCAGCAAGCGCGTAGAATGGGAAGATTGGACTAAGGTAGCGAATCTCATCCCTGGCCATTATTTCTTCCAACATCCCGGCGATGAAAGAGGCCGCCATCAGTGCCGCCGTGGACTCAGGCGTATTAACCCTTGTACCCTTGTATAAAATCAACAAGGACACGAAATAGCAGATGTGCAGTTGAAACTTTTCGAGGCTATAAGCTGACAAGACTTTCGACGGCTGTTCGTGAGAAACTTTCAAGCTCGGTGGAAGTTGATGGATCCAGCAGAACAAAGAGTTCTCAAATGACTGTCTTCGCGCATCAGTGAGAAGTCGT